ACCAAACCCAAAAGATAACATGTCCATGATTCATTACTGTTGTTTGTAGTACTGTTGTTTGTAGTCCAGGTCCAGGTAAGTCTGTGGTGGGGTTAAGCGAACTTAGTTTAGTCAACTAATTTGACCAGAAGTTTTCTGTGTGAGTTTAAGTACATAGGAGCAGAGGTGCAAGGTCAATTTCCTATATACATTTTTTGTTGTAATTTTAATATAGAAGTGGTGGACAAGTTGGTCCAACCAACATTATGTTAGTTTTTAATGTTTGTATGCTTGCTGGTTAACAGATTGTTCATAATTTTTTATTTTTTTTATGGAATGTCATTTCAAGTGAGATTCAGCAAAATCTGCAAGACACTTGTTTGAGGGTAACCTCTCTATGCTGGTAGAAAGGTGTGTGTGTGGTTTGGGGGGGGGGGGCAGGGGCGGTTCTGACAGGTCATGGGTGGGAGCTGACTCTGTGGGGTATGGGGGTGGGGGACAGTGGGGGTCTGAAATCTGACTATGCTAATGATTCGAACCAGAGTCAACAGGTTTTAGTTTAAAATATTGTCTAGCTACAGTTAGCATCCACCTCTCATTTAAGACAGCTAATATTGATAAATGTTAATCTCTTTACAATACATGTAGAAACAAATCATTTTGGTCAAATATTTTTGCTTTAGAAAGATGTTTATTCAATTCATCCTGCAATAAATTTTCCTTAGCAGTTGCTCAGAGCAGGCAGTCCTCTAAAAATTTAAAACTACAGTAAGACCCCAATTCACCCCAATATAATCCTATTTTGACAGTCACTCTTTCTTCCTTACTGTCCAGATATCCATTACCTTAGGGGTCTGAAAATGTCAAGTTTTGCCAGAATGTTTCCGGCCACTGTGCAAGTTTGGCTCACAGTAACATTCTCTTAACTTTCAAATGCGTAAAAGTATATTAAGAAAAAAAAGAAGAAAAAAAAAAAAAAGAGGCCACTGCTTCCAAGTGCAACCAGGCAAGAGGAACGTTGAGAAGAATTGTTATAAAGGGATACAGCTCTTACCTTTCAACCTGCATCAGAGCAGCCAAAGTATTGCGTTGATTATCCCCCCTTGATACAACATTTACGTCTCCCATGGACCCGGCTGAACGTGAGATAAACAAGTCAATTGTTACTTCATCAATTTTATAAACACATTCAGACTTACTATGTTTATTTAAAGAGATATTCAAAAAAATATAACACTTAAAATTCCTGATAGTCTTTGTCAGGTCTATTTAGTTTAGATGAAGAAATGTTTCATATCTTTCATAATATTTTAAAACCTTTAAGGTGAACATTTTAAAAAAAAAAAAAAAATTGTTTCTATTTTTTTTTAGAGATGGCTGAATAAACTAAATCATTTATTTAAAAACAAGCAGTAAGATTTTTCAGACATGAATGTTTCAACTTTAATATCTGTTAGAAGATATAGAACTAAATTTAAAATATAACACTTAAAATTCCTGATAGTCTTTGTCAGGTCTATTTAGTTTAGATGAAGAAATGTTTCATATCTTTCATAATATTTTAAAACCTTTAAGGTGAACATTTTAAAAAAAAAAAAAAATTGTTTCTATTTTTTTTTAGAGATGGCTGAATGAACTAAATCATTTATTTAAAAACAAGCAGTAAGATTTTTCAGACATGAATGTTTCAACTTTAATAGCTGTTAGAAGATATAGAACTCAATTATACACCAAATTATATTATTATAGTTGGATTCAACTGTGACAACAACAAAATAATATACTGTTTGATCATATAGTATCCCTTTTATGGAAACACGTAGTTTGACTTGATTTATATTTTTGTCAACCACATCAGGTTGACCTATGTCTGGACATAAAAATGTTTTAAAGAATGTACGTTTATGTTACAGACCTCTGCGTACATTCTGTGACAGATGTCCACCAGGGAAATATCCCTCGACACCAGAAGATTTCCTTCCCTCGTACAAGCCTTGGTCAGTCACGCCAGTAACTAAAATTTAAAAAAAAAATAATGCAAAATAAAGAAGATTATAATAAGATGGAATGAATAAGTTTGTTTCTTTTACTTTGAAAAAAGATTAAGAGTTTTATGGGCACTTTTTTCCAAGATCAGAATAGTGGCTTATAAATAAAAACAAACCATTTTTAATGCATGGTGGAAATGCACTCCTTACTGTTAATATTTACACACTTATAAATCTATGCCTTTATAGTGCTATTTCAAAAGTTATTACAGAACAAATATTAATTTCAAAGCAAATAAAAATGAATGTATTAACACTGACAGAAAGTGAGGGTCTCACATTGACTACGAGAAAAAAAGAAATGCTATTTTTACATAATTTTAACACTAATTGAGGTATTTCAAAGTGCATTTGTTAAATTTGGTAATCCTTGAATTTTGGTTTTAAGCATTACTGTTAAGGAAATGGTAGTGGGCAAACATTGCTAAAAGAATTCAAACATAAATCAGAATGTACACATAAAGGACTTAACCATCACAACAAAGCAAATTCAATTCTAGAAGCTTAATGTTTGGACTGTTATAGCTATTTATATACATATTTTAAAAAATCATACATGAATACAGACATTAAACATATATAGGTGATTTGAAATAAATAAACATATTATTATAATACATTTCGAAGACAGGAATTAAAAAATTCCAGGATGTCTTCATTATAAGTAATTGAATATGTACAGATGTGAGAAAATCTAAACTAAATCTAGTTATTTTAGATTATAGAGGCTCGATTCATGAACACAAATACTTTCATTGTTGAACTCTTAACTCACCGTAATACAGTCTTGCAGATTTCAAACTTTTGCATTCATACATTTAAACAAATCTGAACTCTGATCATAATATTAAAGAAATTAAAGACCCTACACTGATCAACTTAAAGAAAGAAAGCTATTTATCTCTCTTTTGAAACTCAAGGAAAGACACAGACTCTTCCCTCCGATGATAATACAAAGACGTTTCTTATAGACCAATCATGATTGGATTACATTTTTAAATACAGATAATGTACAGAAACTGATAATTGAAGGAAGCAAAATATTGAGGTGTGAATCTGAGATGTAAATTATTTCTGGTTGCTAGTATTACCCAGTGCAATATAGGGAAGACCATTCAAACTTCTAGTGCTAATGATATCAAATGTATTGATGTTATCTTCACAAGCCTTACAATGTGATCATTTGAATACCTTTTCTTTTAAAAAAAAAGTGGTGCTTTTATTTTTTTTATTGCAGACATCTAATAAATCATAAATAGCCAACCTTGAAATTGATCTAGTTTTATGCTTTAAAAATACTTAAGCCAACTCTTTTAAATATTTTTACAACATATATTTAATTATCTGGGGTTATATTTTAATATGTTATTTTGTTTTATAAGTTATGAGTGCAATTAGATTTATCTAAAAGTTTTTTAGATGAACCCAATAATTTGAATGGTCCATGGCATGCTGGCAGTATATAAATTTTCTTCTGTAAATGAGGCACACAAAAACCTTGAATGATCTCTCCTTTTTGCAATGAGAGTTCTCCAGGAAATTTGGCTGTGTAAGGCTTTATGCAGACATAAGGAAAAACCTCAGACATTATCACAAGCTTTTGACCAGCAGAAAACAACTTTTTTGGTCTTGATCTAAAATCTGTGACTAGATTTGTTTGGCCTAGCCAACCAAAGTGGGGAGAATGAAACAAAGTTTACATTTTCAAAATATTACCTCCCCTAAGACACTGTAAACAGACCAACTGTTTTAAATATTTGATAAGATTAAAAAGTTGTCAAATCAAAAAGACTAATTTAAAAAAAAAGGTGATGACCAAAATCTACTACACATATCAATGAGTCTATTGCTCTGTTTGTTCCAAAAAATAAATAAATATATAATTCTAATAGCCCAGTTACATAACCTATACGTAATAAAGTTATTCCCCTAGATTTACTCAAATGCATGTAAAAGAAAACATGATGAGGGTGGCCATGTACAAAGCAAAGAGCAAAAAATTCTGACAGAAACACCATCAAGAAAAAATGCACTCCAAAAAGACAAGTTCAAAAATTTGTATAATTGAATTATTTGTGACAATAAAATAGCATTAGCTTTATAATTTATATCAATTGTGACTTTTCTAGTTATCTGTTGAAGTTAAATAAGATTATGAAACTGGAGAATTAAAAAAAAAAAAAAAAAATTTAATTTTTCCTAAATAAATCTGCCATTTGCACTTGTTTTTATTTAAAATAAAGGAGTCTCTCTTTTAAAAACCATTCGACAATTTTTTTAATTTATATCAATTGTGACTTTTTTAGTTATTTGTTGAAGTTAAATAAAATTATGAAACTGGAGAATTAAAAAAAAAAAAAAAAAATTTAATTTTTCCTAAATAAATCTGCCATTTGCACTTGGTTTTATTTAAAATAAAGGAGTCTCTCTTTTAAAAACCATTCGACAATTGTATGATTCGACAGTAAAATTGTCAGAGCTGTTTTACCTGATCCAGCACTGGATATACTGATAGAACAAGCTGAGTCAGAGTCCACCATTCTATAGCCTCCGTACTGCCTCCTGGCCAGACCACCGATGGGAGATGAGGATGATGATGGGGATCTGATGTCATCCAGGCCTGCAAAGTTTATCCGGGGGTCACTGCGTGTTCGCAGTAAGGCTCTGAGGGAAGGGGTCAATGATGCTCCTTTACGTCGATTGCTGTACTGAGGAATTTCCCTGTAGGGAACTGATGAGAAAAGAAAATGGTTAATGACTCTAAACTCTATTTAAAAGTAGCCTATATCACTCGGCAATGGATTAAATAGCATCTCACCCTAAGTACAGAAGTAGATTGAGGTAATAAATTTAATACATATGTATCTAGAAAAAAGTCTTTAAAATATTCGAAAATATTCTTTTAACAGAAACAAGTCAGCAAAATAACCATGATTGACTTGTTATGGTGCTAGGAGGCTATGTCAAGACTCACCCACATCATCAGGGTTATGAGAATTGATCATTTCAGCAATTGCTGTGTTGCCAGCCAGGGCGGCCACCTGGTCAGCAGTCTGATTGCTGTAGTTGACCAGTGTAGGGTCAGCTCCACGGAACAGAAGCACACGAGCACAGGCTTCTTGGCTATTGAGGGCGCATATGTGAAGTGGTGTGTTCCCACAGGAGTTTCTTACGTCCATTTCTGCTCCGTAAAACAGAAGATGCTCCAAGTGCTGTACACGGCCATTCTTACAGGCCTGAAGATAAAGATTTAAAAATTAAATTCATTGGCTTTAAATGGTAACAATGAACATCTAGATTAAGAAATAAAAGCAAAGTCTGATAGAGCAGTATTTCCAAAGTGGTCTTCGCAGACGGGTAACAGTCTACAAGCATTACGTTGCTTGTCTGCACAACATTTGTGGTCAGTATAAAGAGAAAAAATTGATAAATCTGGCAATGGTCCCTGATGCAATTAAAAATTTTTCCACTGGTCAGCCCAACTTAAAGTTTGAGAAACACTGTGTTGGCAGACATTAGAAGAAAAAAAAAGGGCAAATGTTTGCGCACATAAAAATAACCAGATAAAAAATTGTACCTGATGTATTTCGTACCAGCCATGCTCATCACATATTCCAACACGAGCTCTTTCATGTAGCAACATGTGTGTACAATCCTGGACAGTGTCATCGTTGGAAACACTGTAGTACAAGGGGGTCAGATCACGAGCATCTTTGCAGTCTGGTGATGCGCCCAGGTCAAGCATCGTCTGTTTTATTAAGTAACAATTATAATATTATCTAGCTTTGTTTTCTAGATAACAAATATTTAAAAATCATGCAGTTAAAAAATAAAATCTTAACAATTCACTCAGATATAGGATACTGGGAGAGATGGACCAGTTAGCGGACTTTTTTTTGTTTTTCCAGTTCCAGGACCATGGTGATGTAAAGGTTTTTTTAATGAAAGTGAGCACCATTAAAGATGCTTTTTTGACAGCCCCCCCTCCCACAAAGCCAAGAGTCAGGTTGAGGCCATTAGTTTGCTCAGATCTTCAAAAGAGTAGTTTTAGTTTATTTTTATTTATTGATTTATTGATAATGACCAACAAGTATTGGTTGTGAATTTTTAAAAATCTACTTGAAATTTATCCTTGAGATTACATTTTTTTAAAAATCTATCATCATTGAAATGAAGGATTTTTAAACCTAAGTATTTGCTGAGTTTGTAAAAAATGGGTTTCAAATAGGAAGGTAAAACCTAAACATAGATGTCTTAACCTTTGCCAGTCCTTTGCCTTAATTTAGATATGCTCTTTGTTTTGAGTGTAAATATAGATGATTGACAGAGGCACTTATTATCCCCACCACTACCACAATGTCTTTCATTCATTATAGGTCCAAATGGTGAAAAGTCGTTTTAATAAAATTTTAACTGATATACTTCAGCCATCAAGAAGTAAAAAAAAAATATATATATAAAGCATGAATCTTGAAGATTGAATTGAGAGAACCACAATGTTCTCAATTTTGAGCTTGAAAATTCTAGTTGCATTAAGTGAGCTACAGCACAGAGTTAAACAGCTGAAATGGAAACATGAGGTGGCAGCTTCATGTTACTGTTTATAAGAAATAGATGTTCAATCTTAGTCTTCAAAGGAATGTCACAAAACTAATTAAGTCTCACCCGAATGGCTTCAGCATTTCCCACTATGGCACCCCGGTGTAGAGGTGTCAGGCCTTGCTTGTTCCTAAAATCTAGGTGTGCACCACCACTAACAAGTGTAATGATCACATCCCTGCACTTGGATTTACCCAAGGTGACAGCTGTTGTCAATGGAGTTTCTGCAAGGTTTCAAATAATATTAAATGTAAATAAACAAATAATGTGTTTTAAATTTTCTCTCCTCAAATGTCTAGAAATGAGCGTTGTACTTTCTGGCATCCATATTCCCAATCTTGAAACAAATCATAAGGTTGAGAACCATCCTTCATTCTACTGCATCAATCTGTTTTAAAAGGATGCTTAATAATAATAAATAAATGGATCAAAACAGTAAGATCTGCCATTACTCTTATACTTATACACCATTAAGATTTGATAGTCATTACTAATTTCAATTGAAAAAAAAAAAAAAAAGATATGACAAATTACCTCCATTATCCTGATCATGAAAGTTAGGGTCAAGGCCTTTCATTGTGGTTTTGTTGATTTTCTCAATATTCCCAGCACGCACAGCGTCCATGAAAAGTTTCAATTTGGACTGTTGTGTAAACATTTAGAAATGGAAATAAATTGTTAGAAACAAATTAATACTTTGAATTCTTCAAATGAATGGTGAAATGAATCAAGATAAGCAAGTTGCATTCAGAAAAAGAATAAAATAAAATGCATCATTGATTTATAAATTTCACCTAGGAAACAGTTACAAAATTTTTAAAAGTAAAATATATGTTTCTATTGCAGATAGTTAAGTAAACAAATCCAAAACTGAAAATTAGATCAACAAAGAGTTAATAGATTGAGCATTCAAATCATTTTTAAAAGGAATAAAATAGTGCATTAGGGATTTAAGTTTTAAGATCAAGTTATAATAGCATATCTACCAGTAAATTTATTTTATTTGCATATTTTTCATTTAAATATAATGATTTTTTAGAAGTGCATGAACATAAACAATTGTATAGTTTCCTTACTTTTGAGTGAATCTGTTTCAGCTTTCTCTCGTTGATTTGCATCATTTTGTAAACACGTTTTTTGTACTTGAACTACAGTGAAAAAAGAAAATTATTATTAAAGATTACATCAAAATCTATGAATTATTTTCATTCCAATTTATGTCTAATTTCAATAACCCATTTTTAAAAAATGCGCAACAATGACATACAGCAAAAAATAGCTAGACCTCTAATGTATTTTTTCTTCTTTTCTTTTTCTTGCGAAAATAAATATCTGAATCTAAATTAGATTTTTTAGAACTTATTGTTAGGGGCCAGGTGCAGCCCTTAAAGAAACTGGAAACCAAATTTTGGCATTTACAGTAATAGAGCTTATATTCAAATAGTTGATATTTTTAGTATCTGGCCCATTTTTAAATTTGGCTTTTTATTATGGTTCTTTGTTTTTAAAAAAAATAAAATAGAGAACGGCTGATTTTGGAAGACAAAACAGGCAGAATTCCCATTGAAATTGTGTTATTTAAATCTTTAAAAATGTCAGGTGACCAGACTAATGTGTACATGCAAATATTCCCCACCAACCATCGTAATGATAGGTTCAGTGAAACAACATTAACAACAGAAACTTTCTTTTTGGGTGGTAGATTTTTTTTTAAAGTGTCAGGAAATGTTTAATTAGAACATTGTAAAAAATATATATATAACTATGTATTAAAAGATATAAAAATACAATGATTGTCTAATGTTTATGTATAATGTGAGACACCAGAGTGAGAAAAGAACCATATCATTGATTTGAATGGATCAAAGATTATAAATATTTTTTTGGTATGATATCCTCTAACTAATAGCTGTTGCAGTCTACATAGGAACAATGAGATAGGGGTATTGACACAAAGCTTAAGTCCCTCTAAGTTTCTCTAAGTTTGTTTGAAAAGAAGAGAAGACAAAGAAACAAAACAATCTGTCAGTTCATGTTAACTTTTTCTGGAGGCTTTTTGTGTCTTTATCACCATTGTGAGAAGTCAGCAGTTGCCAAAAAGCTGGCTAACACTTCACACCAGGACTTGCTCCCCCCCCCCCCCCCCCCCCCTCCCNCCCCACATTCCAAGTCCTCACTTTCTTTGTCTTGGTAGCAAAAAGTATCACCTCAAATGTCACATGGGAATGCTAGACTTGAAATAACAGTGAGATAGCCAACATTCGGCCACAGACTGATTACCTCCAAGGGAAAACGGCTATGACCCAGCCAGGATTTTTTTTTTCTTTTATTCTCACAAGATGGGTGGCCAAAAGTTGAACACCAATAGCTGCTGAATTGGTGTGAAAGTAAACCCTGCTCTTGACCAGACAATAGATAAGATAACTTGATACCTACAAACTGCAGTATGTTCATTCTTTTAAAACGGACAACATAATGTTGTGCTTTTTTGTTTTTGAAGACCTCCTCAATTAGTAAAACCTCTTCAATGGTAATGAAATAATTAATTATAATTTATAATTTAGATTTTCCATTGGTTTTCATTTATCCTCAAGGTGTAACTGTTCCTATGTTATTATAAATATATGTTGCTGTGACATTCAACTTTATATGTCAGCACTGTAATAACAGTAATTAAGAAGCTAATATTATCAATAGACAAGGCTGTCCTGTCTTTTTGAATCCTGTACTTCAGCATACAAAAATAACATGACAAACATATGTTGAATAAGTATATGTAATGTTTAAAATAATGCACGTTAACTCGTAGCTGCTTATTTTGTGCAGATTTGTGAAATATTACAAGAATTCCCTTTGGTCCACATTTCCAACTTAGAAGGCCACTGTACTGTAATGATCAATGTCATGCCACTGTTCTAGATTCTTCCCCAGACATATTCTTATGGACAACTTTGCAGTGTCAAAAAAAAATCATCTCGAGTTAAATATGATGTTTCCCACCTCCATTTTCATTTTAAAAACCAATTAACTAACCTCAAGAAAGCCAATCGGTCCTTGGATGGGGTATTCATTAAGAAGTCGCTCTTCCTCCATAAATTTCCCAGCTTTTCCATTGGCTGGAGGGAGGTACATGCCATAATTTAGAGGGTCACGTAGATCCTGATAAGAAAAAAATAAAATTTATTTGAAAGTAGGCTACTAATAGGCTATTTCATACACTCAGATTTGCTGACATTAAAACAATTAACCAATTTAAAATAACTGCTCTCTGTGTGTTATGAAAGGTGTAATTTGCTATCAGAATTCTAGACACATAAATCCCACTGAGATATGAGAGTAAATGCTTCAATGAAGAAATCAAAACTGTGATGTTGTTCCGTGACAACATTATTAGCTACAATAAAACTGTTGCTGAGTCAGATGTATTGGGTTAGTAAAAGAATAAATCATTCTGTTCTTCTTGGTTTAAAAGGCTAATCAAAACAACAACAAAAATTATTTTTTAAAAAAAATAAGAAAATGGAAAATGATTAGGGATGTTAAAATGAATCACAAACTATCCAAGCTTTTTGAAATAGAAGGGAGAGAAATGTGTCAAACCTTCTTGGGTTATCTCCTCACGGTTCAGATAGTTCACTAATTTTGATTTGATTGATGCATTTAAACCAGCTCAAAGAATGATTTTGGCACCCATTGTGAGTGTCTCAACTTTAAATAATAATTAATAACTCGTTTTTCTGATTATGTTTAACACATTTCTTACTTTGGCAAATGCTGTCAGTACTCTTTGCTTTGCCTGCCAAACAGTGTGCTCAAGTTGGAATTGCAGACATTTCTGAGAAAGAGAGAATGATTGGGTTTAGAGATGCTCAGTGGGGGAAGTTGAAATTTAAAGTCATAGTGTGGCAGTTGTTTGCTGTCATCAATGTGAAATTCATTTAAGTCTGTCACGATTTAAGTATGTCACGATTTAAGTATGTCATGATTTTAAGTATGTCATGATTAAAGTGTGTTATGATCTAAACATGTCATGATTTAAACATGTCATGATTTAAGTATGCCATGATTTAAGTATTTCATGAGTTTAAGTTTGTCATGATTTAAGTATGTCATGATTTAAATCTGTCAGGATTTAAGTATGTCACGATTTAAGTATGTCGTAATTTAAGTTTTTCATGATTTAAAGATGTCATGATTTAAGTATGTCATGATTTAAGTATGTCATGATTTAAATATGTCATGATTTAAGTCTGTCAGAATTTAAGTGTGTCACGATTTAAGTATATCATGATTTAAGTCTGTCATGATTTAAGTCTGTCATGATTTAAGTCTTTCATGATTTATTTATTTATTTATTTATTTAGGCATTTTTATATAGCGCTTATCATAAAGCTCTAAGCGCTTTACAATTATTAAAACATGTAAACTAAGTAAATACAAATGAGACACTAGGATAGTAACTACTATTCTATAGATGCATCACAGGTCATAGGCGGACCTAAACAGATGAGTTTTAAGGGACTTTTTGAAACTGGACGAGGTTTCACTATGACGTATATGGAAGGGGAGCTGGTTCCAGAACGTGGGCCCATGGAAGCAGAAGATTTAAGTCTGTCATGATTTAAATATGTCATGATTTAAGTCTGTCATGAATTAAGCCAGTCACGATTTAAGTCTGTCTTGATTTAAGTATGTCATGATTTAAGTATGTCACGATTTAAGTATGTCACGATTTAAGTATGTCATGATTTAAGTATGTTGTGATTTAAGTATGTATGTATGTCACGATTTAAGTATGTCATGATTTAAGTTTGTCATGATTTAAGTATGTCATGATTTAAGTATGTCATGATTTAAGTTTAAAAAAATATAATACTCTAAAGCAATCTATTTAATTAAGAGCCATTTTTATAATTTATATCAGCTCATAAATATTTTAGGCAGCAGTGTCACATGTGGGTTTAAGAGCTGAATTTATTCATTCAAAGCACTGCAGGTTGGTGACCACTACATTAGTGACATGAAAATAAAATGGTCAGAAAAGGTGGATAAAAATGGACAGGCATTACCATTCAGTTAAAAAAATTGGAATATCATTTTTAAACATATTATTTTAACTTATTTATTTTATATTTTTAATTTTGCGATGTTTCCTGTGACAAAGATTAGACTTACCTGAACTTTAAGTTCGGGCACAGCAATTCTGATAAAAACTGTGCCCATCGTGTTGTCAGGGGTGAAACCATCCATCCCTCCTCCTTGTGTGTCTTTCATGGCTGAGGTTTAGCTGAAACACATCTGCCGCATAAAACGAATACAAAGTCGGTGGTAATATCCAGATACTTGCCACATGAATGTCATGGAATCCATCCCATTATCCTTCACGATACACAAGTAAAACACATTCAAATCAATTCTGCCTGGTCGTTTGTTTATGCTTTAAATTTTTTAAAATAAAATCTGGGTCTATTCCAAAAGTATAATTTAGAAATATATCTCAAATAAAGATAACAAATCTTGGGTAATGTTCTGACAATGAATGACCAGATCTTGCTCTGTCAAATTCTCAACCAGTGATGTCTCTTGTGGTAATGGAAGAAATTATTACTTTTTTTTAAAATCACTGATTTTTTTCCCCACAATCCTGTCGTTTTTAATGTGAAATGCTTCACAATCACTGTAATGATTAACTCTACGGGGAACGTGTATCCAACTTTGAGGGCAGACAATGTCGGAACTATCTGTGGCAAGTCTTTCAGTTTAAAACACGTTGAAGTCAAATGATTGGGTTAAAGGTCTGTGTGTGAATTTGTTGATAAATATCCGAGTCCAGTTCTAAGACATCGAGAAGAAGAAAATAATATCCAGTTCTTTTACATCTTTAGACTGCTGGTTATTCCCCCTCGTGACGCAGTTATCTGTGAAAGAAAATATAAAAAGAATATTAATTTAACATAAATTTAGTATTATGGAATTTAAAACAAAAATATATCTTCTGGAAATAGACCATGTGTTGGGAGGCTCATGGACGATATCCGGGAATTTTCATTTAAAGTGATAGGACAATATGTTTTTATACGAAAACTGTAAATGTTTTAATTTAATTATTAGCGGATGACATTAGTCAAATATTTAATGAGACGTTTCGGCTGATTCCTTCCCTTGGGTTTTAATTAAGGGGAGCTAATAAAAAACGCACTGAGATGAAAACAAGGTGATACAGCATTGAGTACATTTATATTTAAAATATGTTTTACACATAATTTGAATATGCTGCGCAGAATACTTGTGTGCCCACAGTGCCCTGAATAATTTTAGGCAAATATTTTTGCTCAATGATGCAACATTGACACAATTAAAGAAGTAATTACAACGGGCAGATTACCAGCCGTCATGCAAAACAATGACACGACCATTAGGATAATGTCAATAATTTTATCAGCTGTGGAATTAATGGAGGCTAGGTTTGAGGGGGGGTGATGGGGGTTTGGTTTGGCCTAGTCCCTGAACATGGAAGTATAATTTATTTTGCAAAGCATGCTAATGACACTTTTAACAAATATATACGTTGTTCACCATACATAATTAAAATGAAAAGGAAATCAATATAAAGCTACGTTCTACCATTTACATGTTCAGACGTCATAAATTAATACTTAGGCCTAGCCAAAAATCTGGATAACACTCTGCCAATGTACAAGTTTTTACGAAATTTCTACTCAACGAAAACACCGTTTAGGACTCATCACGATTTCCATTTTTGCTAACGAGGTCACTATTCCGGGTATTGCGAAAAACTCAGAGACGGAAAATCTCCTAAGTAACAATATGAGTTGAGGGAAAAAAACACAACTAAAGTTTAAAAATAAATCGTGGAACTAGATATGTTTAGGCTTGAAACAAAAAAAAAAGGACAATTTTGTTCCAAGCCTAACAATGAATTGTTCCACCATGTATTTACTTAACAGGAATTGAACCACGTCCCTCATACATTATCCTTCAAATTGTATTAGAGTAAGGTCTCAGAATAGTTGAAGTCATTTGCTCAAATCAAACATCTAAACACAAAAATTTAAAAGCGTAAATGTCTTTTCATAACTTTCAGATCATTAGTTCAACGGACGTAATTGAAAATTTAAATCTCAATTAGTAAAGCTGTCTTATCATACGACGAAAGACAAGCAGCAAAAGAGTGCGCAATCGGGGTGGACAAGATCCTATCGGGATTTATAAAGTTTTTCTGTTTAATTTATTTACGCGCTAAAAGTGAATACTATTTATTTTAAAATTTTACTAGGCATAAAAGATCTACCGAATCATGTTAATTTCACGCATATAAGATTAAAACAACAACAACACACGTTTAAAATGTTAATATGTGTAAACAGCAGTAAACCCAGCTATTTTCTAACCATATTTTTAATTGGTGTGTCGTGGAGATCTGGGATAGGTCTCGGTGTGCCGTGGAGATCTGGGAAAAGTCTCGGTGTGTTGTGGAGATCTGCGAAGGATCTTGGTGTGTTGTGGAGATTTGGGAAGAGTCTCGGTGTGTTGGGGAGATCTGGGATAGGTCTTGGTGTGCCGTGGAGATCTGGGATAGGTCTAGGTATGCCGTGGAGATCTGGGATAGGTCTCGGTGTGCCGTGGAGATCTGGGATAGGTCTCGGTGTGTCGTGGAGATCTGGGAAAAGTCTCGGTGTGTTGTGGAGATCTGCGAAGGATCTTGCTGTGTTGTGGAGATCTGGGAAGAGTCTCGGTGTGTTGTGGAGATGTGGGAAGGGTCTCAGTGTGCCGTGAGGGAAAAAAGGTTGTGGAGCACTGCACTAGAGTTCGAGTCTAGTAAATTTGTTCAAATGTTTATAGCGTAGACCTTGGCCTAAAAATTCCGTTACCTACTGAGATTTTCTACACACTTAACCTACTGAGATTTGCTACAGATTTAACCTACTGACATTTGCTACAAAATTAACCTACTGAGATTTTCGACAAGCTTAACCTACTGAGATTTTCTACAAGTTTAACCTACTGAGATTTGCTACAAACTTAACCTACTGAGATTTGCTACAAACTTAACCTACTGAGATTTGTTACAAACTTAACCAGGGCTATGAACATCAAACGGGTCAATAACTCAAGATAACAGTCTTTAATGATTTATGTCCCTTGCTGTTCCTATATCTAACTCCCTCCATGTCCGAACAATACAATTGTACCACTAGAAATATAACGTCACAAAACTTGGCGATGGTGTCATAAAGACAGATGAAACAACGCATGTGGAAGCCATGTTTTATAATTATAATTGATCCGATAAACCAGATTATTAAATTAGCTTTTGCGTACCGTAATTAAGTATAACGCTTGGTATATTTGACTTAAGAATAGACAAAGAATCGAATATCCCATCCCAACCACCCCATTTTCCCCTCCCTCCCACCCCAATACCCCTAACTCGTGTTGTGTGAGGTGGGTTATTAACGTAACACTGTAATTGGAAAATAACTTCACGTGATGGCCGGAAAAAATGGGACGCGCCCCTTTCGTCTCCCAGACAATGCACGAAGATACAGAAGGGACCTACTTAGGACATAGGCTGACATAGGGAGATATATCAACACTTTTGCTGGTATCATGAGGACACGTCGCGTATTTCCTTTACGGGATAGCCACTGTCCATAACACAACACGCGGACGTGGAAGTGGAAACACACCTTGCAGTTCACGAGGGAGTCGCATACAGACACACTATTAACTCTAGGTTATTGCATTGTTCTATGAATAGATTATATATATATATGGGTTCAATATCAGTGAGGAAAATTGATATGAAAAACCCCCCACAAATATAACAACTGAACACGTCATGTAACCAGGGTTTCTTTCAGCTTTATCTCGGGGGGGGGGGGGGGAGGCAAGGCCCCCCCCCCCCGGGCCAAAAAACAGTCACAAAAAAAACACACCGCCCACCCCCCCCCCCCCCCCCCCCAAAGAATCTGAAGTGCCTCCCCGGGGGAAAATTTCTGAAATAATCACTGCATGTAACGTTCCTGAACAACACGTCATGTAATGTTCCTGAACAACACGTCATGTAATGTTCCTGAACACGCCATGTAACGTTCCTGAACACGCCATGTAATGTTCCTGAACAACACGTTATGTAATGTTCCTGAACACGCCATGTAACGTTCCTGAACACGCCATGTAATGTTCCTGAACAACACGCCATGTAATGTTCCTGAACAACACGTCATGTAATGTTCCTGAACACGCCATGTAACGTTCCTGAACACGCCATGTAATGTTCCTGAACACGCCATGTAATGTTCCTGAACAACACGTCATCTAATGTTCCTGAACACTGCCATGTAACGTTCCTGAACATGCCATGTAATGTTCCTGAACACGCCATGTAATGTTCCTGAACACACCATGTAATGTTCCTGAACAACACACCATGTAATGTTCCTGAACAACACGCCATGTAATGTTCCTGAACACGCCATGTAATGTTCCTGAACAACACGTCATGTAATGTTCCTGAACACGCCATGTAACGTTCCTGAACATGCCATGTAATGTTCCTGAACACGCCATGTAATGTTCCTGAACACACCATGTAATGTTCCTGAACAACACACCATGTAATGTTCCTGAACAACACGCCATGTAATGGTCCTGAACAACACGCCATGTAATGGTCCTGAACATCCTCAAGGATGTCAATCATTTGTCATCGATTTAAAAAGTAATCTCTTTATTAAAGATCTCACAACGACGGTGAACATATTGTTTGTTAACACGTTACCTAGTAGGTCTTCTTAGTTAACATGTTTGTTAACACATTACTTAGTAGGTCTACTCAGTTCACATTTTTGTTAACACATTAATTAGTAGGTCTACTCGTTTAACATGTTTGTTAACACATTACTTAGTAGCTCTATTAAGTCAACATGTTTTTAACACATTACTTAGTAATTAACACATTACTTAGTAGGTCTGCTCAGTTAACATGTTTGTTAACACATTACTTAGTAGGTCTGCTCAGTTAACATGTCTGTTAACACATTACTTAGTAGGTCTGCTCAGTTATCAGGGATACCCACTAACATACACGGACACAAGTAGTCTCCTCTCTCCAAGACATGTCCAACAACTCGCTGGAATCTATCACAAATTTGTTCGCACCCACCTGTGTATTATCTGACTAAGACTCCCAGTCTCAGTGAATTGTCTGACTCAATCTACCAGTCTCAGTGAATTGTCAGACTAAGTCTCCCAGCCCCAGTGAATTTTCTGACTAACTCTCCCACCCACTGTGTATTGTCTCACTGTCTCCCAGCCCCTACAAAATTGACAATGCCTACCGATGATTTTGAAAATGCGAAATGGTCTCTGATTAAAATAATAAGTAATCAAGTAAAAAGTCAACTGTAAAGCTTAGGAAAATTAACGTTTGATTTACGACATGAAGTAGAAGGTTAATAATAAATTGTAAAAAAATGAACACTCACATATGTCATAAATTAAAAGTCAGTGGCTCCTCTGTTCTTTAAATAACTTTACCTCGCAAACTTTGAAATGGCAAGTCGCACAGTCTGATGGTGCTAAGTTGTCAAACCATTGCATTAGGATTTTCCTTAATTTTTAAAAACTTTGGAAAATAATATTTTGGGGTTGTTTGTTATATGAACTGCCCCCCCCACCCCTAACAGCGGTGTGACACTAGAGAGTTATTACTTCCTGCTATTATCCTCTGTGTCGTAAAGAAAAAAGAAAAAAAAACACGTTTGAAAAAAAAAATATCTGAGACCACTTGATAGATCCTCTAAGATTTACCTTCCTCTTGGACTCAATGCTTGACAGCGGTGCCAAGTTACGAATTTTTGTTTTTTAACCATTGATAGCTGCTTTAAGGGAACG